TCGTCTTCATCATCATCATCATCATCATCGTCATCATCGTCATCATCGTCATCATCATCATCATCGTCATCATCATCATCATCATTATCGCAATCGTCATAGGGCTCACCATCGCCACAAGCCTTCTAGACCTTCAGCTTCCAAGGCAACCAATATGCCAGAAGCTATGCCCTCGGCAATTGTGCTCTGGAGTACCAGAGTAAGCCAAAGAGACTCACTGTTGCGATAGCTACAGTACCGAAGGATGCCGGACAAAGATGTACTAACATGAAAAAGCCCTAAACTCTGAACCCCGGAGCCCATGCAAGCTAGGGCGAATATCTCGTCCCAAAGCCCAGAGCCCCAAATTCAGCGCTTGAACACATAGTTGGTGGATATAGTAATCACACTCACTGAGGAACCCCAAGGACCGCCCAAGGATAAAAACAAGTAGTCTAGCATCATTCAGCCACGCATGGTGTGACCTGGCTTCTGTTATTCTAGGGCTGCTCCCTTCAGGGCATGTCCTGAAAGCCACGTGCTGGGGTGCGAGCTGGACAGCTGGCTCGCTACCTGCACGCTGGATCAAGCTTCCCTATACCCAAAACCCCAAACCGAGGGATGTAGGGTTGAGGGTTTTGGGCTTCGGGTCTCAGTTCACGGCTGAGTGCTGCGGGTCAAGGGACAGGATAGAACTCGGCGTTTGTAGGTAATTGAATGCTCGAGATTAAGAGGCTGGATATTTTGGCTTGCGCAAATCTGGCCGGTGATCCCTGGTGCTGCGGTTACGGACAACTTCACGGTGCGGGCGAAGAGCCTGAATTTTCCATTCTGTGATAGCATAGGATAGGAAACCTCCCTCTCCAAGCCAACCCTCATCGCGACTCCAGTAATCTCTGCCCAAAAGCGCTAATAATGATAGTTTGAATAGAGCTTTCGTGCCCATAATACTATATTTATAATAAGGAACCCCAAAATAGTATTGGTAATTATTTGGGCCCCTACACTAAACCCTGAAGAGGCTTGAGCTCCCTTGGACTGAAGTTCGAAGCCGCGTTGCGTAGCGGCACCAAACCTGATCCATGCCGAAGTCGCTGCGCAAGCCTCGTAGCTGGATTTTGCACACTATTCCATACATATACAAACATATATACTGTACATGTGTATGTATGTGCATATCTATATGTATATATACATACATACATACATACATACATACATACATACATACATAAGTACATAAACACTTGTATACACATATATACACACATATGTATATATATATATATAGATATGTGCCTATAGATTCTATGTATATATGTATATAGATATGCTACCCCGCCTCCGGTACCTAGGTTTTCGTGATTATGCTGATGCTTTGCTCAAGTGGGCCGAGGGAAAGGGCATTCCGCAAACACGAGTCAGCCCTGAATTATGGATGTTGTGTCCAAAGTCTGTGCCGAAAGCAACCTTTATGCTTGCTTGAGCATCATGAGCACGCAAAAAATCGGACAGAAAAGGCTGCGAGTGCATGCGTACGCGCAAAGAAGCAAGGAATGGCATAGGAAAAACTGTTTTGTCATCAATGCCGGTGGTCGCGAGGAGCCGACATACAGTAGTGAGCGAGTGGGGGCATGGCGAAGCAGGCCTGCTGAAGCTCACGAAAACAAGCAGCTTTGCGTGGCATGGGATCTTACTGTAGCATCCTCGTGACCACTCACGCAGATTTCGTATCAAGGTGGATGGTGAATATGTCTAGTTGGCTGCCGTTATAGTTTATAGACACACATGTCCATTGAACGTCCACTTGTTGATGCACAGCAATGTCAGTGTGGTTGGTGGGTTTTGCAGTCTGGTACACGAACTAATCCGTGATTTCATTGCTTAAAGTAATCATATACGGAATAAGCCGCAGTGTGAGATAGTGTCCTTTTACCTGTCAAAATTTTCAGTCTTCGCACCACCGCGCAATGATTCATGCGTATCTGTCAAATTAGCAGTCAACAGCAACAATGGTAGCAGCTCGTGACCCGGTCTTCATTGCCTTAGGAATCCGATCTCCGTTTCTTTTCTCAGTCATGTCTAACTAAACTGCTACATAATCTGTTATTCTATGTCGAGTTCAAACAAATCAGTGTGGCTTTAGTATTACGTCTGTCTAGCAATGTTGGTTTCACGTGTTTTAACCACTACAGTAGATCCTGTTGCTGTAGTTATTGCACTTCATCAATACTAACCGGATTAACATTATGTACATCCCGGCTTCTTATCATTTCTGAACCAAGATTCACTGTGTCAACTACTGTTGTGGTTGTTCATTCAGAGTACTTCGAATATTGTTCAGAAACTTTGCTTTATGATAGCCATGCATTGTATACAAAGCAAATGTACGACTTGCTGAGTCCTGAGCTCTACAGTTTGACTAGTATAAAACTACCATTCAAGACCTGTTAAATATTCACACATGTGCTTACGAGACCTCTCGGTAGGATGATGGGTAATCAAGTAACGCATTTGCTTGATTCTAACCGCTAACCTGTTGAGAATGGACCGTTACGGGTAGTGCTCCACGTCAAACATAATACAACATGCCGTGGCTGCGCATTACACCGTAGGTTCTATGTTCCGGTATTTATTAGTCGACATTGCTAGCCATCTTAACTGTGTTCATAACACAAGTCCTGTGCATTTATTGGTCGGGTTCGGGTTCGTAGACTTTTCCAAATCGTTTTCGAAGATTTGCACCTACCACACAATGACCATGTGACAATGATGTATGACAGGATTCTGGCGCAAATGCTAGTCTGCTGAGAGAGGGCTCTCTATTGTAAGCAAAGAAAGCCACACACAAAATGCATGAACACAACGACTAAAGCCACCCGATGCAAAGAACAAAAAAGCTATGACATAAGCAATACCTTAGACATCTGTCTTGGGAAATCTGTGTGATTAAACCATCATAGGCATGTTCGTACAGCAATAGTTTTCCTATAGTAAATTCTCGGACCGTAGACATGAAGTAAAGCTCTGTTCGTGATAAGCAGAAAAACCCACTAAACTGCTGTTCGCACAGTAACGTCTTCAAGCAGAGACAAACTACTGAGCTTAATCAAGGATGCGAATATCTTACCGGCCCATTTTGCAACACAAACATCGCATGAGTACATGAGATGTGCTCAATCACAAGATTCGGACGAGCATCATGAGCACCAGTGGGGTCGTTGGAAGCGGCACGGGTGAGCATCATGAGCATTAGCAGTTTCTTTGGGCTCCCCCAAAAGCAAAAACACTTGGTATCACGGGAATTGCTGGTAAAACCAACGCTTTCCATGATTGGCTCACGGAAAACGTTGGCAAAAACAACAATTCCAACAATCTCTATGGATTTCGTGAAACCTCGAGCCAGAGCCATAGTTTGGAAAATCATGCAAGTTGTTAGAAATGTTGGTAAAACCAACATTTTCCATGATTTGTCTATGGGAAATTATGCAACATGTTGGCAAAACCAACAATTTCCATGAATTTCGAGAAACCTCTTGAGCCTGAGCCATAGTTTAGAAAATCATGAAAATTGTTGGAAAGTTGGTAAAGCAAACATGTTCCAGGATTCTCCACAAACAAATCATGGATCATGTTGGTTTTACCAACACTTCTAGCAATTTCCATGAAATGGAGAAACCGCGGGAGCCGGAGCCATAGTTTCGGCAATCAATGAAATTGTTGGAGATGTTGGTAAAACCAAAATTTTCCATGATACTCCACACACAAATCATGGACATGTTGGTTTTACCAACATTTCCAACAATTTCCGTGAATTCGGAGAAACGTCGGGAGCAAAAACCATAGCAAACCCTGAACTTGGAAACATTCAGTAAACCCTAAACTTTCAAGCGCGGGAGCCAGAAGTGCAGTAAACAAAGACCTGCTTTCCAAGAGACGCAACAACAGAGGGACATGAACACGTATTTTGGACAAGGCGGCTGACTTGAAGAGGAGACAACCTAGGTACCGGGGGGGGGGGGGCCATATATATATATATATATGGTTGTGCGCTGAACCATATGTACATGTGTGTGTATATATATATATATTTCAAGATATATGGTCAGGCGTCTGCCGGCCCTCCCGAATGGTAGGGTCTGGCAGGGGTGGCACACAGCCTATAACGGGGATGTTCCTATCTTATTAACCTTACTCTGCGTTTTAAACCTTACTACACCCAACCCTAAACCCCGCCTAAATGCAGGGCTCTAAGCCTAAGCAGAACATAAACCACCAACCCTACATAACCTGCATCCCAAACCCGCCCTTGTCGTCTCCAAGCCTACTTATACCGTATATAACCCTAAACCCGCCCTGTTCCCCGTTGTGGGGTTTGGGTTTAGGGTTTAGCTCAAGCTTTTGAGTTGGGGTTTAGCATGTAGGGGTTAAAGGTATTATGGCTTCGAGTCGATAAGGACTTAGGGAGAGTTTGGTGTATAGGTCGGTTAGGGTTGACGCTTTATGTTTTCCTTGGCTCTCAGCCTGGATTCAGGCAGGGTTTAGGGTTGGGCAGGGTGCAGGATTTAAAGTACAGGTTAAGGTTAATCAAAACAGGAGCACGCGCTACGTTACAGGGTTTATGGCTTGCGTAGGGCTTGCGTCAGATCCCGGCCCTCTCTGCGACGCCTGGCCGCACCCCAACAGCACCCCACCCAACACCCAACCGCCCGACCCCTCTCTCGCTTTGTCCGAGGTTTTTTTTTTTACGGATCTAGGGTTGCGCTCAAAATTATCTTTTCGGTATTTAGCAGGTGTACGGGTCTCCTTCAACTTCAGCCTAAACCCACATCATTGCGGAGGCACCCTACTCTTCCTGAAACTTCGGAAGACCTGGAAATGGCGTTCAAAAGGCCAAAAATGCACCTCCCCTTTCAAACAAAGGAGCGTCTCGCCCTCCTTTAGGCTTCAGGCTTTAGGGGCTCTATTGTCCTAAACCCTAAGCCCTCAACCCTAGTCTTTAGGTGTTTTTTTTGGTCTTCCTCTGGCATCGCGCCATACCAGGAAAGGTCGTGGAAGAAGCTGCCCAGCTCCTGTTGCTCAGCTTTTGTGGTTCGGGGCTGAACATATTGCTTGCATTTGGCTTACTACAACAGGGTTTAGGGTTTAGGGTAAGCCCTAACCCCCCAACCTTAAATTGATCGTTGACTTCAACGGGGCCTCCGCAGCGTAGTCAGGCCTAATCTAGGGGCTTTAATAAGTACAACAGCTCAAGGGTTCTATCAAAAGTTCTATAAGCATTGTAAGATCTAAGGTATATTATACTGTAACATGTTCCATAAACAAGAATCCTGAAGAATAGTGTTGGTAGTTATTCGGGCTCCTAGACTAACGTATTAACTGCAAGACGAAGGGAACACCAAGCAACAAGCAACCAAGCTGCCGTTGCAAGCTACGACACGAAACACGGCTCTCAATCTTATCTCCGGACATCGGAATTCAAAACGTCACCAATAAATGCAAGGAGCAATAGTGATACTGGCGTTCAGCAAAGCCCAGACTCATGTAAACCATGCTTACAACTTATATAACCCTAAACTCTGAACCCTAAACCCTTAACCCTAAACCCTATAACCCTTAACCCTAAACCCTATAACCCTAAACCCTATAACCCTATAACTCT